TCTTTTGTGGTGAATTGTGGGCAATTGCACACTATTTATAGTAAAAAAAAATAGTGGTTAAGTCATGATACAATAGGGATAGAAAATTGTGTCTATCAAATTGGATAAGAATTGAATTTAAATAATATGAATTATGATTATTTTTAAACTTTATCAAATCAAGATTACAATCAAACTTTATTCAAATCACAAAAAAATTATCATTATCAAAATCAACATTTATCACTATACCGATACATAATTATTTGGTTCAAATAAGATAGGAATTTAAAACCTATTTTATAATTTAAAAAATAAAATTTTATTCTAAAATTTTCGGGGCGCAACATTTTAGCCATTCCAAATGTGGTTCCAAAGTGCAAAATTGTGCTTTGAGGATGTAAAATATAAAGAAGAAGAATTAAATTTTTTGGGGTTAAACATTGTGGATATATAGTGTTTAATAAATGAATTTAATAAGAGTAATGTTTGAATGTAATAGAGATCATTTTTTAAAAAATTTAAAATTGTAATAGAGATAGATTTAGAGTGGATACATATATAAAAGTGGTGTAAATATATAATTTTAAATTAATTAATTTAATAAGAATAATGGTGAACTTTAATGTGGATGAATATAATTTTAAAATTTTAACAGGGATATATTAAAAATGGGGATGGATATATATGAATAGTAGTAGAAGATGGCAGAAAAATTATAAAAGTTTTTATTTGCGATATACCCCCTACATATTGAAAATTGCAGAAACCCCTCATGTTTGAAATTTTTTGTGCGAAATACAACATTTTTTGTGCGAAAACCCTCATACCATCCAATTCCGTTAGTTTAACTATTAAAAACATTAAAAAAATGCCAAAATTAACAATGAATAATTGTAGTTGTGATCCCAAACTTTTTATTTTTTTTTTGCAAATTAAGTTAAAATCTTTTATTTGCACAATCTACAATCTCAAACTTTTAAAACTTTATTTTCCTTTACCAAACTCCTCACCCTGCCCCCAACCCACCCCCCTCAAACCCCCATCACCACTTCACTGAAAACCCAACAAAATATGATTTTCTGTAATGGGTCCATCTTCTTATTGCAGTTTCTCCATTAATGGCTCGAGATTGAGAGAAAAAATATGAAGTGGTGGGGTGGGGTGGGGTGGGGTGGGGTGGGGAAGGGGAAGAAAATAAAGTCTCGCACAAAATGTTTCAAATATAGGATTTTTTTTGCAATTTCCAATCGCAAATGAAGACGTTTAGTAATATGATATTTTATATTACAACAAAGCTAGATTAATTCAATTATGACATGTTCAATTTTAACTCTTACAAAATAATATAATTCAATCTCGCAATATCTTTTACACGTCTTTTTGTTGAGTTTTTCATAGATTTGACTGTTAAAATTACAGGAAGAGGAAGACTACGAGTTCACAATAATAGAAAAGCAAAAACGACACTACGTCATAATAAGATTTTGGTAAAACTTAGGTCAATTTGATTAAGTTGGACTTGTGTGGAAATTAGAAACAGTAAAATCATATTTTTGGTTTTGACTAAATAAATAGCAAATTTATTTTTAAAAAATTGACTTATTTAAGATTAAAAAAAATTAGGAAGATTCGGTTCTTCAATTCTTGATCTAGAACCGAGAACCAAACTAAACACAATCTGTCGGTTTTCGATTCAGATACTCATTCGGGTATATAACTTGAGAAGAACCGCTCGGTTCGATTCGGATCTGATTAAGTTCGAGAGTTTTGTTCAGCCCTAAATTTAAACAAAGTGCATGATAAACAATCCAACTCTTAAAAATCAATTTGAAGGTGTAGATCTAACAAAACAAAATAAATCAAAAAAATAGTCATCTTCTTCAGTCACCTTCCTTGTACACTCCACCGCACCATTGTCACCTCCATAATACCACCAAAATTTCCTAGATTTTGAGATAGCAGAAGGTCTTCTTGCCATTACTACGAATTAGGGAGGGGGCTCTCCCTAATTTGACAAAAATAGGGGTCGGTTTTTTGCATTTTTTGGGCGGTTTTCGGGTTTCGGGTTGGGTGGTCGGGTCGGGATTGGTCGGATTTGGTCGGGTCGCGGGTTGGCACCCTAAACCCGACCCGACCCAACCCAA